GGCATTTCGGATAAATCGCCTGAAATCTGTGATGGTACCCCTTTGGAATCTGCCAAAAATTGACCCGGAATAAATCCGCCCAAATCGGTGCTTAATGGACTCAATCATCGTTGGAGAATAGCCTCAGGCCGAATCAGTGATCTGTAGCCTTCAATATCCAAAGAAAATGGCCTATCGTCGCCCAAAAAATTACGAAAATGCCATCCGGAAATAAATTTGTCCAAATCGATGCTTAACAGATTAATCATCCATGGAGAATAGGATCAATAGACTTCATTATTGGTGGAGAATAGCCTCGGCCTAATTCCGTGATCTGTAGCCTCCGGAATCGAAAGAAAATGGCATTTCTGATAAATCGCCCGAAATCTGTGATGGTACCCCTTTGGAATCCGCCAAAAATTGACATGGAATAAATCCGCCAAAATCGGTGCTTAATGGACTCAATCATCGTTGGAGAATACCCTCAGGCCGAATCAGTGATATGTAGCCTTCAATATCCACAGAAAATGGCATTTCGTCGCCCAAGAAATTACGAAAATGCTATCTTAAAATATATTGGCCCAAATCGATGCTTAATGAACTTATCATCCGCGGAGAATAGGATCAATAGACTTCATTATTGGTGGAGAATAGCCTCGGCCTGATTCTGTGATCTGTAGCCTCCAGAATCGAAAAAAATGCCATTTTGGATAAAACGCCCTTTTGAATCTGCCAAAAATTCAACCGGAATAAATCCGCCAAAATCGGTGATTAATGGACTCAATCATCTTTGGAGAATAGCCTCAGGCCGAATCAGTGATCTATAGCCTTCAATATCCAAAGAAAATGGCATTTCGTTGCCCAAGAAATTACGAAAATGCTATCCGAAAATAAATTGGCCCAAATCAATGCTTAACGTACTTATCATCCGTGGAGAATAGGATCAATAGACTTCATTATCGGTGAAGAATAGCCTCGGCCTGATTCTGTGATCTGTAGCCTCCAGAATCGAAAGAAAATGGCATTTCGGATAAATTGCCAGAAATCTGTGATGGTAACCCCTTTGGAATCTGCCAAAAATTGACCCGAAATAAATCAGCCCAAATCGGGGCTTAATGGACTAAATCATCGTTGAAGAATAACCTCAGGCCAAATCTGTGATCTGTAGCCTTCAATATCCAAAGAAAATGGCCTTTTGTCGCACAAGAAATTACGAAAATGCCATCCTAAAATAAATTGGCCCAAATCGATTCTTAAAGGACTTATCATCCGTGGAGAATGGGATCAATAGACTTCGTTATCGGTGGAGAATAGCCTCGGCCTGATTCTGAGATCTGTAGCCTCCAGAATCGAAAGAAAATGGAATTTCGCATAAATCGCCCGAAATCTGTGATGGTACCCCTTTGGAATCTGCCAAAAATTAACATGGAATAAATCCGCCCAAATCGGTGCTTAATGGACTCAATCATCGTTGGAGAATAGCCTCAGGCCGAATCAGTGATCTGTAGCCTTCAATATACAAAGAAAATGGCCTTTCGTCGCCCAAGAAATTACGAAAATGCTATACAAAAATAAATTAGCCCAAATCGATGCTTAAAGGACTTATCATCTGTAGAGAATAGGATCAATAGACTTCATTATCGGTGGAGAATAGCCTCGGCCTGATTCCGTGATCTGTAGCCTCCAGAATCGAAATAAAATGGCATTTCGGATAAATCGCCCGAAATCTGTGATGGTACCCCTTTGGAATCTGCCAAAAATTGACCCGGAATAAATCCGCCCAAATCGGGACTTAATGGACTCAATCATCGTTGAATAATAACCTCAGGCCGAATCTGTGATCTGTAGCCTTCAATATCCAAAGAAAATGGCCTTCCGTCGCCCAAGAAATTACGAAAATGCCATCCGAAAATAAATTGGCCCAAATCGATGCTTAACGGACAATCATCCGTGGAGAATAGGATCAATAGACTTCATTATCGGTGGAGAATAGCCTTGGCCTGATTCCGTGATCTGTAGCCTCCGGAATCGAAAGAAAATGGCATTTCAGATAAATTGCCGGAAATCTGTGATGGTAACCCCTTTGGAATCTGCCAAAAATTGACCTGGAATAAATCAGCCCAAATCGGGGCTTAATGGACTCAATCATCGTTGAAGAATAACCTCAGGTCGAATCCGTGATCTGTAGCCTTCAATATCCAAAGAAAATGGCCTTTCGTCGCCCAAGAAATTACAAAAATTGCCATCCGAAAATAAATTGGCCCAAATCGATGCTTAACGGAGTTATCATCCGTGGAGAATAGGATCAATAGACTTCATTATCGGCGGAGAATAACCTTGGCATCATTTTGTGATCTGTAGCCTCCAGAATCGAAAGAAAATGACATTTCGGATAAATCGCCCGAAATCTATGATGGTACCCCTTAGGAATCTGCCAAAAATTGACCAGGAATAAATCCACCCAAATCGGTGCTTAATGGACTAAATCATCGTTGGAGAATAGCCTCAGTCCGAATCATTGATCTGTAGCCTTCAATATCGAAAGAAAATTGCCTTTCGTCGCCCAAGAAATTACGAAAATGCCATCCGGAAATAAATTGGTCCAAATCGATTCTTAACGGACTAATCATCCGTGGAGAATAGGATCAATAGACTTCATTATTGGTGGAGAATAGCCTCGGCCTGATTCCGTGATCTATAGCCTATAGAATCAAAAGAAAATGGCATTTCGTATAAATCGCCCAAAATTTGTGATAGTACCCCTTTGGAATCTGCCAAAAATTGACCGGGAATAAATCCGCCCAAATCGGTGATTAATGGACTCAATCATCGTTGGAGAATAGCATCAGGCCGAATCAGTGATCTGTAGCCTTCAATATCCAAAGAAAATGGCCTTTCGTCGCTCAAGAAATTACGAAAATGTCATCGGAAAATAAATTGGCACAAATCGATACTTAACGGACTTATCATCCGTGGAGAATAGGATCAATAGACCTCATTATAGGTGGAGAATAGCCTCGGCATGATTCCGTGATCTGTAGCCTCCAGAATCGAAAGAAAATGGCATTTCGGATAAATCGCCCGAAATCTGTGGTGGTACCCCTTTGGAATCTGCCAAAAATTGACCCGGAATAAATCCGCTCAAATAGGTGCTTAATGGACTCAATCATCTTTGGAGAATAGCCTCAGCCCGAATCAGTGATCTGTAGCCTTCAATATCCAAAGAAAATGGCCTTTCGTCGCCCAAGAAATTACGAAAATGCTATCGGAAAATAAATTGGCCCAAATCGATGCTTTACGGACTTATTATCCGTGGAGAATAGGATCAATAGACTTCATTATCGGTGAAGAATAGCCTCGGCCTGATTCTGTGATTTGTAGCCTCCAGAATCGAAAGAAAATGGCATTTCGGATAAATCGCCCGAAATCTGTGATGGTACCCCTTTGGAATCTGCCAAAAATTGACCCGGAATAAATCCGCCCAAATCGGGACTTAATGGACTCAATCATCGTTGAAGATTAACCTCAGGCCGAATCTGTGATTTGTAGCCTTCAATATCCAAAGAAAATGGCCTTCCGTCGCCCAAGAAATTACGAAAATGCCATCCGAAAATAAATTGGACCAAATCGATTCTTAACGGACTAATCATCCGTGGAGAATAGGATTAATAGACTTCATTATCGGTGGAAAATAGCCTCGGCCTGATTCCGTGATTTGTAGCCTCCGGAATCGAAAGAAAATGGCATTTCGGATAAATTGCCCGAAATCTGTGATGGTACCCCTTTGGAATCTGCCAAAAATTGACCCGGAATAAATCCGCCCATATTGGGGCTTAATGGACTCAATCATCGTTTGAGAATAGCCGTAGGCCGAATCTGTGATCTGTAGCCTTCAATATCCAAAAAAAATGGTCTTTCGTCGCCCAAGAAATTATGAAAATGCTATCCGAAAAGAAATTGGCCCAAATCGATGCTTAACGGACTTATCATCTGTGGAGAATAGGATCAATAGACTTCATTATCGGTGGAGAATAACCTTGGCATCATTTTGTGATCTGTAGCCTCCAGAATCGAAAGAAAATGACATTTCGGATAAATCGCCCGAAATCTATGATGGTACCCCTTAGGAATCTGCCAAAAATTGACCAGGAATAAATCCGCCCAAATCGGTGCTTAATGGACTCAATCATCGTTGGAGAATAGCCGTAGGCCGAATCATTGATCTGTAGCCTTCAATATCCAAAGAAAATAGCCTTTCGTCGCCCAAGAAATTACGAAAATGCCATCCGAAAATAAATTGGTCCAAATCGATGCTTAACGGATTAATCATCCGTGGAGAATAGGATCAATAGACTTCTTTATCGGTGGAGAATAGCCTTGGCCTGATTTCGTGACCTATAGCCTCCAGAATCGAAAGAAAATGGCATTTCGGATAAATTGTTTCGATAAAACGTCTATATAAAATGTAAAACATGATGAATTTGAACATAAAATCATTTGGGAAATGAAAAACTTAAAAAGCAATAAACACACCTGGTGAGACTCGAACCCACAATCGTTTGATTAGAAGTCAAACGCCTTATCCATTAGGCCACAGGTGCCATTGACTTTTGTTTTCTGCTAAGTTGCTATTAACTTTATAACACAATTTCATCTCTCAATTTCATCTGTACTAAGCCATTATATATGAGCATTACAGACCATCACCCACTAGGCAACATGTTAATTAGAATTGGCTTAACTATCTTGTGACAAAAACGATCCTTCAATATCTCGATGGATTTGTTGACTTGCATCATTTATTTGACGCTCTATTTGCAAAATTATTACATATGTTTATACAATCTTAGTTTGACTAATGGATTCATTGGTTTTTTTATAAAAAAAATTAATATATGTATAACCTATTTGAATTATAACATAGATTCTTATACCATCGAAATATAACTTTTATGTTGGTATGAGTAGAAGTGTTATGAACATTACCTATATATTGTGATGATTTTTGTTTTAACAAAAGCACTAAACCATTCTGTTTATTCCGAATATAATAAAGAATCACACGATCGCACTTTTCATAGTATGACATGGATGCCTCTCGGTGGGTGATCGTTTTGTTGTTTTTACCATTTGTGTTCATATCTATCCAATTTTGATCTATGTCAAAGTCAATTTAGTTTTTTTCATGTAATTATTACTTGAAACTTAGATTGTGTCGAATAAAAGCACCGTATACGCTCACTTTCAACAGACATTCTTAAATTTACATTTTAACTAGACACAAATAGTATTAAATTTACATTTTAACTAGACACAAATAGTACGAGTCCTTGCATTCTACTATCCTTATTATTTATGGTAGAAAATATATGTGGAATTCCGCTCAGGGTATTCAGTATTGAATTGGTTTCCTTTTCCACTAAAAGTTTCCATTTACAACTCGAAACAGTTCAGATCATCACCTAACAATACATGGAAACAAACAGAAACATTGGAGAACAGTCAAAAGAACCAAGCTTTGCGTTCATGGCAACGAAAGGAAACTTACTATGTAGCAAAGATCCTGTCCCCATTGACAGAACAGGAAGCTAATTAATGAATGGAGAAGTTAATAAAAAGAGATCATGTGCATGCATACATACATTCCTCTCCTTTATAAATTCGGTTTCTCCGCCTCAAATGCCTTCATTCTAAATTAAGTTCGACCAACTCATGGCTCGTGAGCATGAAGAACGAAAAGAGAAGTTCTGGTTCGATCCAAGTTATCCGTCTCAAAGTAAAATGGACGCTCTCGATGAAGCATGGCGTTTGTTATTGGAGGAAGAATGCAAACACGTGAATACTGAGTGTTCCGACTCTAATATGACGTATTCTCCCCCTTTCTCAAACAATGAGGAATCCAAATGTAGAGTAACAAGGAGGATTCGAAGTACCTTGGAAACAGTGAAAGATACATTGATTTCTTTGCTCACTTTTTCTGGCCGAAGAAAAGAATCGAGTGACGACGTTGCTTCTTCTCGTTCTCTTAATTTTCATTCCGGCGTGGACAAAGATTCATCACTGTTGGAGCCCAGAACACAGCGTTTTGATCGGGAGATTTCGACGACGGGTTCTTCTTATCACACTCGCTGGTACTTTGCAGAGTTCATGAGATACTACATTGAAGTTCAGAAGGAGATGTTTCCAGACGATCCTAACATAGTAAGAAGATTTGAGGAGGACATTTATAGTAGTAGTGGCAGGAGTAGTGTTAGCAGTACAATATTTTTTGCCCTTGGCTCCATGTGTGATTGTTGAAATGAATAAATCTCGAGCTTTAGGTCAAGAATGACAACATCTCTTGTGTTGAAACGAACAAGGGATTGATCTAATGGTAATACCACTAGCCATAATATCAACAGTACAACGTAATGTAGTAATTAAGTTTCTTTGCTAAGCAATTTCAGAAAAATATCATTTATACCCATGTAGATACTTGGACGGCAACTATGCATAAAACAGTGAAACATTTTCGTAGGCACAAAGGCAAGATCTCCCAAATTTCCACCTCCCGGTAGTTTATAGGCTGAGCTAAGAACAGATTGCTCAGTGTATTTCATTTCCTTAATACAATCTCAAAACCAAGAACTAAATACGCCCAAAAAATTGGAGGCTTTTACACCCTCCGCAGTGAATGTTGTAATAATATCATAAACCCTTGTCACCCACTTCCTTATATAGTTGGTCTAACATGTAGGGAGGGGGAGACAAAATTTGCCCATTACATTGTGTAATGTGTCATCACCTCTAATCTTCAAGCTCGATGATCTTAACCACCGACGCATCTCCGACTTTCTGGCAGACGACTACTCTGTCGTGGGACTTGATCACACCTGAGGCCTTCCCGTGGTCCAAAGCAACCTTAAGGACTGAATCATTTGTGGCACTCGTTGATTCCGCCTGGTCACAGAGAAATGAAGTAGAGGCATGTCAGAGTTGCTAGTTTTAAATAAGAAAAACCACACAAGTTTTGGAGCAGAAGACATACGTGGTGTCTCGGATCAGCGAGCATTGGGAAGAGACCTCGAACAATAAGCGATTGCCTTGCCTGCAAGTGTACGATGTAGATGTGTACAAGATTAGTCAAGGGGTCTACAACAAGCACATATATGACAGGAAATTTAGAAAAATGCTTTCTACATCCATCTTTGGGCAAACTCTTTTTGCTAGTCAAGTTACTCTCTAGAGAAAGAATATAAAAGAGGAAGGCCTTGGATTCCAGTTCAATAGTAGCGAAATGAAAATAATAATGTGAAAATATTATCCGAAATTTGTTCACTTGGTTGTGTGTGTGCATGAGAGAGAGAGCCATACCTCGAAGGCACCACTGAAACTCCACTTAAGTTGGTTTGTCTTGAGTCTGGGGATAACAACAGAGATGACTGGCATTGTTGGTCTATACTTGGCAATCAGTCTGCATAAAGTAACGAGATTTTCTATTATGAATCACTATTCCGGGAAGCACACAATCTTTTCGGCATTAGTTAGTAAAAAGATTTCAGCACGCAAGGAAATTGTATTAGGTACCTAGCGGCCCTTCCTGATGAAGTGAAGCATATGATGACAGAGGCCTTCACCTTGATGGCTGCTCGAACCTGAATGAAACCAGAAAGCAGGTATTAGTATTATCCTTTCTTCACGTCTGTACTTGGCAATCAGTCTGGCTGTCTGGCAATCTATACAGTGCAGAGTATTCAGAAGTGCATTACCGCAGAGGAGGCAATAGATTCTAAGTGAGTCATCGGCTCTCCAACATATTTGACAGTTTTCTTGAAATACACATCCTGATTGAAAACCTTCTCTGCCTGCAAGAGTTGATCAGCATAGCAAAAAGATGTAAGCTCATAAGGGAAGAAAGAAACATCACATCTATGATCAGGCAACCAAAAAGGTCTCCCGTGGATATCAAGCTTGTAACTTTTGAGTCACTACAACACAACCTAGCAATCTACAAGCCGCAAGATTCCACTTAAGTAGATGAAGATATGGATCGTCTATATATAACATGAAAAAGCTTACCTCGCAACAAATTCTGCCAACTGTAGAAATGGTTTCCACAGGGTATATCCCACGTAGAGTTTCAGCACCAAGAAGAATTGCGTCACTCCCTACACCACGCAACAACAACAAAATAAAGTACATATTCAGCAAGCTTTAAGCATAAATATTACGGACAACCCACAATGAGAGATTCTCCCTTCTGGTTTGGGAACTCACCATCTAGAACAGCATTGGCAACGTCAGTAGCTTCAGCACGAGTTGGCCTCAAGTTGTTGGTCATAGTGTCCACAACACGGGTTACCACAGCAGGCTTGCCAGCCATGTTGCACTTGTAAAGGGCAGCTTTCTGAAACAAAAACACCTGGAAGAAACAAAAACAATCTAAGCCAGCAACCAAGCACACAAAATACTTGGCAGTCAGGACACAACACACTGATATACTTCAGTGGAAGGAACTGTGATCTATAAATTGGAGGGAAAAAATTATAACCTTCTCAGGGGGAAGATCTATGCCCAGGTTCCCTCGGGAAAGAATAATGCCATCAGCCTCTTGTAATATCTCATCAAAATGCGTCAATCCCTATGTAGAAACAACAGTGAAACAACAGTTTCGAAACATACGCCCCACGTAAGAGAGTATAGCTGAAAACTAACCTAAGAAGCCAAATCCTGAGATCATAGTTACCTCGACATTCTCAATCTTGGCAAAGATTTGAGTTTGGCTCAGGTCTCCTAGCTTAGAGAGGTACTCACGGGCCTGCATTACCATACAAGAAATTAATTTTAAGAATACGGATAGCCAGTATAGGTTTCCGAGATAACTGGGAATTCAGTGATAGGAATGCCTTATAAAAAGGCTTACCTGACGGACATCTTCTGCATGTCGGGTATAAGATAATGAAAGAAAGTCAATTTTATTTGGCACTCCCCAAGCACTAATAACCTAGAATGAGAAAAAGAAAGCAAAAGAACCGCACTTCATAAAAAAGCAAGATAGAGTAAAAAGAAAATTCACTTGGAAAAAAGGAAAGGGAGCTCATTCAGCTCAAAGTCGAAGGAGTAAAAGAACACTAACCTCCTTATCCTTTTCAGAAAGGGTGGGTAGTTCAATACGGATTTGAGAAGCATGTAGAGTGAACAACGACCCTGCCAATGTAGCGGTGTTTTTAATCACACATACCACATCTTCTCCTTTCACCTCAGAAACCTGCACAATTCGAAAATGATTGCTGTCACTAGGAGTTCAATTATATAGCAGACCTAGCTGTACCAATGTATGTTCTTCTCAAAGTAGTTCTATTTAATTTGAAATGAAGAGCCACTGAAGCTTTACTGAAACAATTGTTTCTGTATAGTCCAAATCTCACTTTGCCCTATGATAGCTAAGAAACACAGGGTTGTCTTGTACATTACCTCGAGCCAGACAGAAGTAGTTTCACTGCCAGTGAAGAGATATTGACCAACGAATATGGTATCACCAGGTTTCACAGCCTGGAAAGGGAAAATTGATAATCAGTCATCAGGTTCTAAAGGTGAAGAAAAATACATGATATGAATACCTCTCCCAGAGGAGAACAAGCAAATATGAGTTTCAATGACTACAAAACTGAAACTGTTTTCCTACCCAAAAAAAAAACTGAAAACTGTCCCTAACTTCTTCGCAATATGCCAACAGCATGAGGAAAGTCCAACTATGCTCGCATCACTTACAACTGAGAATACCAACGAAGTGTAGCAAAAGGGAAACGGAAAAAATGGAGAAAAAGTTAGAACCTTAGCTAGCCCATCAAAGTTGATGGGCAATATTTCTGATGAGGCATTCTGTTCCCTATCTGGTGTCAGGATAACAAGACCATCTTGCAGGAGTGAAATGGGTTGTTCACTTCTGTTAAGGACCTGCAACTCAGGACCCACCGTATCGAGCATAACCTGGAACACAGGGAGAATTCCTCAAATTATCATCTAGCATCATTCACCCCTACCAAATACAATCATAAGGTAATCTCAAAACTACTAAGCAGAAGCAATCAAAATAGCCTAACAACGTCACAAACGAGCTGAAAGCAGATTAAATCGATCTTTAAAAAGACGGTTAATCATCACTGTGTCATTCTCAATTAAGATTACCAAAAGGGGTGACCTTTTAGATTTTTTAAATCGATCTTTAAAAAGTTAGAACGAGTGAATCCACAAACTAATTAAGCACAAGGGGACACAATCAAACGCAACATACGGCGCAGAGCTTCCTGGTGCTCTTGATGGCAGCCTTCAGGTTCTCCAAAGTCTGCTGGTGATACTCAGAGTCACCCCACGAAAAATCGAACCGAGCCACTATTGTCACGCAACCAAAAGAGATCCATTAGTTACGAACAGAATCAAGGCTCGAACAGAAGTCAACGAGAAAACAAAAACGAAGCACTAAGTACCCGACATTCCAGCCGTGAGGCATCCCGCAATCACCTCCGTAGATCGCGAGTTGGGGCCGAGAGTCCCAACAATCTTAGTCATTGCCGGGAAGAAGCTCTGCACATAATAAAATCAAAAGGGAGAAGAATTAAATCTAACAGTTGGCGGACAAGGATTTATACGGATTGTGCCAGATCCAAAACAAGCCACAAACAGACCAAGATGGAGACTCGCAAGGCGGAATTAATCGAAGAGAGCGTTACTCACAGACTTTGAGGACTCGAGGATGGAAGCCATGCGAATAGGCTCCTCGAGCAGCAAGTGACTGGAATGCATCTTGGCCGAGTCTCAGCGAGCAATCGATGAAAGAGGAGAAGGAAGAACCTCGGCGAACTGCGTGAGGCCGACGGGTGAAGAAGAGGAAGGGAAGTTTTCTATTGCTCTTTCGATTGAATTCCGATTGCTGCCCTGCACTCCTCCGAAAATGCCCTCTTTGGCCCTTTTGTGTTGCTTGCCCCTTGCCTTTTTGTTAGGTCGAGAGCAAACAATTAGTAATTAATTAATAAAACGACAGATGGAGAAAGACTGAAAGAGGGAAATAAAAGGGAAAGCGGTCCGGTTCCTCTACATTAGCAGCCACGGAAGCTGTATGTGTCTTCCTAAGCAAGCAACCCTTTAATCGCCTATTTTATTAGGTTAAGTTCAATTTTGACTAAAGTCTAAACATGTAAATCGAAGCGGATATAAAAGGCAAATCGAATTAATCTATATACAGTGTCAATTTGATATGGGTATACATCGAGTCATTGTTCACTTTGCTTGTACCAGATCATGTTAACAAAATAATATTGAGGATTGTATAAATCAAACGAAATTCAGAATATACAATCAATAAAGAAGCAGTATGAATTAAGAGATTCATAAAAAAAAAACTTATACAAATCAAACTGAAGCAACACAATATATTACATTTAGTTACAAGCATACATTGAATGTCCTCGAAAAAGAGCTATTTCGAGTTTTGGTGAACTTTCTTTTTGTGTTTCAAAAATCAAAATAGTTCAATCCTTAGTAGTCAGTTTAAGGTTCACCGATTGACCTGATTCTATAAATAGTTCGAGCAAATGCCATCCAGAATGCAAAATATACCGTGTCACGTGATTCAAATACCGAGCTTATTAGCGAGTTGGTCTGTAATCCAATTTCTTAAACACGCATAGCATGCCACGTGTCGCACTATGCAACCAGGGTGCATGATGCTCTAGCACAACCGCGACATAGGCAATAAACACCAATAGTGGGCAAGAGGTAAGCGAAACATGTGGCGCGTGGGTTACCCAGCGCGAACTTGTTGGCGGGGTCGCGGCGAGGCAACATATTCTTGGCGGGTATTGTAACCCACGTGCTTCGGCTGCGTAGGTGGAACGGTGTTGTTTACATTACTGTCACATGCATGTTTTAATTTGTTAGCCTACGTGGAAAATGTGGGGGATGCGAAATTGGAAAGTGGGGTGACGCCCTCAGGAAAGGAAAAGGTCAAAGAGAGTTTTCCGCAAAGGTCAAAGAAAAGAATAACTCCCCAAAAAACAAAACCAATGGGCCGTCGCTTTTTCAAGTCTCAAGGAGGGAGCCGCTGCTTAGCGTTTAAGGGCAGTTGTTTTGCTTACTTAACAATTTCCCTTATAATAATCACTTGTTCCGTGCAAAACATCACAAATAAACAAAGAAGGATTTGTTTTGAAGGGCCTATGATTGGGCTTTTTATTATCTGAATGAGAGAGCTAGGGTTGGACATTCTCTGTGCAAAATGTATGTAAAGCCCATATGTGACTTGGTAGAATCAGGGGTGGGCAACGGGACGGGATACCCGTCCCGTTTTAAACGGGTACCCAGTCCCATTTAGAGACCAAAGTCCATCCCATATCCCAAACTCATATGGGAAACGGGTACCCATTACTCGTACGGGACGGATAACGGGTACCCATACTACCCATAAATACCCAAAGTTTAAATCACATTTTATCTAAAGACAATTAGTCAATTACATCCAAAGCATTCATTTCAAAACACAAAATGGTTGCACAAGTAGCAACTTACACCAATTCCTACAACCCAAAGAAGGGATGATGATGAAGATGAAAAGGAATCAAGGAAGGGGAAACAGTAAAAAAAGCTACACAGAACTCAGCCGTTGAATGTGCGTGTTGCGTCTGTGAGGGAATGAGGTTAGAAGTTACCGAATAACTGAATATGCCCTGTGAGGGAATGGGGTTAGAAGTTACCGAATTGTAATTGAATCATGTGATTGCGGCTGGTGCTGCTCCCCAGTTCTGAATGAATTCATATCCTTTTGTGTTGGAAAAGTAAAGACAAGTCTGATTTGCAACCGTGTTAACAGGTTTTACTTGCTCCAAGAGGACTAGGACATGTCCGGAACTACAGTCGCCTTGTTGTGCCAGGTAATATTTACTTTAAGCTTACCCCTTTTGTTGGTGGTTGTTTTTGGTGGATGCTGAATGTAAGGGTTTTTTTACTGTTACAGGTTCTATAGTTAGTCTGACGCCCATATTACTTGCTCCAAGAGAAGATGAATTATATGTCTTTGTAATTTGAATGGGTACAACGGGTACCCATATTACCCAAATGGGTATTCGCTGGTAACCCGCGGGTACCCATATTAGGACTGTACAATCCCAAGTCCCATCCATTTAAAATATTACGGGTAATATGGGTACTCGTAACCCTTAAAAAACGGGACGGGTACGGGTATACCCAAATACCCGTTTCCCGTTGCCCACCCCTAGGTAGAATGGTAGGGGAAAAAAGCACATCAGTTTTAGAAGCTAGCCCATATATGAAACAACCAGATCGTGGGACAGGCAGAGTTGGCCTCCTAAATGAACAAGAGCACTTCACACGAACAAAGACTTGAACAAAAACAAGTACCACACTAGGCAACTAGCTACCATCTACAAACTTTGCTGGGCTTGAGAGATCCAACATAAACAACAAGTAATATAATCAACTAAAAAAACAACTTACTACACTTACGAAAGAGATGAGAATCCCTCCAATTCAATCTTCCGTAGTAGCAGCAAGTGACGGCGAGAGCGAGTTCCTCGACTCGTCGCAATCCTCCCTCAACGGCTACTGCTCCACCCTGATCTCCTCAATCATCCTCACCACCTCCACCATCTCGGGCCTCTTCTCCGGCGCCGAAGCCACGCAGGCGGCGAGCGCCACGTGGAGCATCGACACCATCTCCTCCTCGATGTTCTTGTACCTCATCAGCTCCTGATCGAACACCTCCGCCGTCCACTCCTCCTTCACCATCGACCTCACCCACCCCGGCAGATCCCCTGCCCCCGCCGCGGCCACGACTTCGTCGGGGTCTCTTCCGGTGAGGACTTCGAGGAGGAGGACGCCGAAGCTGTACACGTCGGAGTTCTGAGAGAGCCGTTTGGTCTCCATCTGCTCGGGAGCTCGGTACTCGCCCAGCCTGGCGATGACATGGACTGGGTTTAGCACAGCGGCGGATCCAGAACATAGAAGAGCACTGGGCCGCATTTCATTAAAAAATTAGAACCGTAAAAAAATATAATGATTATAGCTTTTTGCAATGTAAATTGTACACAACTGTATTTTAATTTAGGGAATGCATCAATAATGAAGTCTACATCCATACCAATAGTATACACTGTGTCAAATAAAATACTTGAGCAATCGGCGAAAAATTCATCGCTCATTTTGTTGAGCAAATCAGTTCTCACATGTTTCATTGTTAAAAAGGTTCTCTTCGTAGTAGCTTTTGAAACGAGCAGCATCAACACTAGATAAATCAATCGACTAATCAATTTACATTGTGTGTCCATCTCTGCACACCAGCTGCTTTAGTAAATTTGTAAGGGAACAAACCTCATATTTCTTTTAGTCTTTTACGTTTTTAACTTTTTAGAATTTTAGGTTTCATTGTTTTTTTAGAAGCATAATCTTTGGGGCTAAAATTTCATAGTCTAAATTTAGAATAGTGATTTGAATATGTTCAACTTGATAATTTTTCTAGTTAAAACCAATCTTATCATAGAATAACACTGGATTGAATGTCTGAAATCAAAAATTTCATAACGTCTATAGTAACTACGGATCCAGAGAAGGGCTGGGCCGAGGCCTGGGGTGGCCACCCCCTGATTCCGCCAGTGGTTTAGCAACAGGGAGAGGCCGAAATCGGCGATCCAAGCGACGCCGTTTCTGTCGAGGAGGACGTTGGAGGATTTCACGTTGCCGTGCGGGATTCGGGCCGACCGATATTCCTCGTGGATCTTGGCTAGCCCGCGGGCGGATCCGAGTACCAGGCTGATCCGAGTGGTCCAGTCAAGTGGGATTCGGCCCGGTCCTCTGTTCCCTGGTCAAACCGTCCCCAGGCTCCCCTTCCCCAGCATCTCCGCCGACGAAAAAGAGTTGTTGTTATTTTTTGCCTTCTCTGATACCTCCACCCACTGACACACTCCATCCTCTCTCTGCAAGGAATGCCTGCGTCAATCAAAAGGGGGAGTTACTCTTCTCCCACCGAGAGCATTCGACGGTGACAAAATGGCATGTCTGACAACATCCAACAATAACTCTCTGCCACCTGTGTAAAGTGGTCAAAAAGCATCGCCCTCACAAAAGTACAAACGCAAAGGGCAACAATGAACAAACCTCCATCAAAAAGATAAAAAGAGGGGAAATATGGTTGGCTACCAACTTCCAACGCATAGATACTGAGCCCCAATCCAAAGTAACCAAACAAAATCGGAAAAAAAGCTGGCAGATACATCCCATCTAGGGATGGCAATGGATCGGGTCGGGGACGGATAGTGCAGATCCGTTATTGTACCCAAAGTAGTTTGGGTTTTACCCATACCCATACCCACATGTGAAACGGGTAGAAAATTAAAATCATGCCCATACCCGTTCGGGTTTCGAGTATCCATGGTTATCCATGGGTAATGATTTTTCTTCATAACTATAACCAATATGTTAACATTCACACGTATTCTCACATTACGTAAGAAAACAAGTACGACAATAATTCACTAGAATGAAGAAAATTAATTAAAACAACATAATTTCATGAAAATGTTATATTTATATGCTAAATATAAAATATGTTAGAGAAAAAAATGATTATTTCTAGACAGAATACATATGCATGTGTATAATCGGGCGGGTTCGGGTTGGATAGTGAGAAACCCATGCCCACCCATCACCTGCAATATTCGGGTTCGGATTCTACCCATACCCACTAAATGTCATTCGGGTTCGGGTTCTACCCAACCCGATTAGGTCGGATTCGGACGGATATCCACGGTTACGGATATTTTTGTCATCCCTAATCCCATCAGCATTCCAAGAGTGCTTCTTGACCTTACCGGGTCTATGCCGTCGAATTGTGACCAGCGCGATTTTCCTCGCAGAGGGTTTCATGTCAGACCCAACCCACAGTCTCGACGATAGTTCAAAAGGAGAGGAAAGGAAATCTGGACCCACATTAAAGCAACAACCAATAAGAACTCAATGAATAGTAATTTTGAGTCACAATGAACATGAAAAGCAGTTCGGATGTACAGTAATTGTTGTTTTGAGCTATTATACTTTTAATTTAATAATGTCTGGTTATAATTTTTAACAACAAATTAAAATCAATTTATTAATTCCTGCTAAAAACGACTTAGTAGATATTAACTGTTAATAATTATAGAACAATTCAAATTCAACGAACAATGGTATCATAATGTTCGGCAACTCAGCCAGCGGCATAAGACAATGGATATACTTATAGCAAGAAAATGACGACTATGGTCATTTTTATTTTCAATATATGGGATGATGTACAATGAGAAAATAACGTAATAATAGTAAAAATGGAGATAGTACGGGATTAATAATTAAGCAATTGACATTTGGTACGATCGACCATGGCCATAGGTGATGATGACATGAAGTTGACAATAAGGCAAATGTACATCCTAATTGGAGTTTAATTTAATTGAGATTCAAGAATTCTCCTCATTTTTTTAAATAAAGAGTGAAACAAGTTTGAGCATCATCAATCTGACTATAGTGACTAGAGGGAATCAATAACAAAGTGAGTTTTCAACCTGTAATTAATTAGTCTAACATTTTCTTTAGTTTGTAGAGTAGTTTGGTTGTTTACTCTGAATATGTTATGCTAAATAATAATATGAAGTTGAGTAATAACAAATCTAGAGACTCGTGGATTCAATATTTTATTACTTGTATCACTATACTACTACGATAATGTCTTTGTTACACTTGGCATTATCACGAGTGTAGTTTTAACGAGTTCTTATTACTATCTAAAAATTATATACGTTTTACGAATTTGAACTCCGCTAGGTAAGGGCATTTTAATATTATATAATATACCATTCAAAAAAATATTATATAAGATAAACCAAATAGCTGCCACAAGTTAATATTAAGTATCGCAACAATCACAGACCGATGCGCTTATACTGCCTGCACAAGATCAATTCTTCAAAAATGGCCACACACTCTCTCTTACTTTAATTATAAAAAAAAAATTCTCAGCCCTCTCTCTTCCTCAACTCTCCAGTCCACCTTCCCAAGGGTTGCCGCCGACACCTTTGACACCTTTTGGTGACCGGCGGTAGCCCATTGATCCCTCTTTTTCATGCTTCCTTTTCAAGCTCTCTTAACTATGTTTTAGGCATTTTTTCATCGGATTTTCCGGCTTTGTAAGCTTTTCCAGCCTATGTGGCTTTTCAATGTTCTATGTTCTGGGGTTCTTGTTTCTCGGTTTGCTCTCTTTGGGGTTGGATTTTGCATCTTTGGCGTTTCTACCAGACTATGTGCGGTGGTTGTCCCTCAAGAAGGTGGATTTAATTTTCTTTTGGTGAATCCATTCACTGTTTTCCCCCTTTGGCCTCTGCTGGTGGTTTAGATCTGCCTCTTTGTCGTCGTCGTTGAGTGGACGATAGAGTCTGATCCGATTGGCTGTGGTGACGGTTCTTTGATTTGGGGGTGTGGGTTCTCCTGCTCGCCTTCACCAAGATTTGGTTCCTTTGCTCCCTCTGCTTCTTCAGCTCGGAGCAATCTGATTCTCATCCTTGACCACTGCCATGCAATCCCACATCTGAGATTCATTGTGTTGAGCGTTTTCGAGCGACTCTCGAGAGGCGGCTTATGGCATTGCTGTGTTCAATAGCCATGGTTTCGGTCGGATCGGACGAGATGACTGTGCTTGGTGCTACTTTGTTTGGTTTGGTTGCAAGAGAGATTTTTGTGCTACTGGTTGTGGATCAAGTGTTTCACACCCAATGTAGGGGTTGGTTCATTTGGCGTTTTGTGATTCCCTTTTTCTATCTCTGTAACACTGTTTGTTTCAACTTTCGATTGGAGATGTTTACTCCTACTCTAGTTCTGGTTTCCTCTTTGATTTCTCTTGTAATCGATCTTAATGCAAGTGATCCCATTGTAAAAAAAAAAAAACGCAACTTGACGTTGGTCCACAAGTACATTACGAATTGACAATAAAAAGGGCTTAATTGCAAGTTTGGTCACTCGAATTGCTATAAAATTTTACGTTTGCCACTCAAATTAATTTATTCCATTTATAGTCACTCGAATTAGTTGAACAGTTCAAGTTCGGTCACTCTCCGTTAACCTCCGTTAACTTTGACTCACGTGGCGGTCAACTCTGATAGTTGACCGTTAAATGTGTGACGTGGCAAATAAAAAATAATTAAAAAATAAAAATTAAATTTTTAGAAATTACACATCATTATCACAAAAAATTATAATTATAAAAAATTTTATAATTATAATTTTTCCATGGAGTTCAGGTGCAGAGCCGGCGACCGCATACTGCCGCCGATTGAGTCCTCCCACCACCGGCCTTCACCCTCCGCCGCCGTGCCTCATCCGCCGTTTCGAGGTTCGGTATTTCTCGGTCGGTTCTCTTCTTTCGCCTGCACTCTTCGATTCAGTTTCTTACGAGTACCTCTGGTTTTTTTTGGGCCGGGAATGATCAGGTGTTCAGTCGAGCCTCCAACTGATGACGGACGAGACGCTCCATCGGGAGCTTGAGAAGGCGCGGGTGTGGCAGGAGATAATCGCGGAGGAGATCGAGCGGCGTAAGGAGGTTATGAGGGCGGAGTTGCGTCGGCAGATGATCGGGGAGACAGATCCGGAGTCGGCGATTTCGACGGCGGAGTCGGGGCGCCCGATATTTCCGGAACAGCCGCCGGAGCGCCGTTTCATTATTACTCCTCCGGTGCCGTCGACGCCTGAGGTCATGCCTCCTTCTGCCTCTGCCGCAGAACCTAACAAAGCGGAGAAGCTGTCCGATCTCGGAGGCGGGAAGCATGAGAAATCGGAGGACGATGAGGGGGAGAAACCCAAGGAAGATTTCAGGTGTGTGGTTTGCCAGGTGAGTGCTACTTCTCATAAGCAAATGATCGAACACCTCGCGGGCAAGCAGCACGAGGCCAAATCTCGCTCTTTGGCAGGGAGGATAAAGACGAGAGTTGGTTCCCAGATGCAGAAGAATCATGGGAAGCGCGGGAAGTTCAGTAGGAAGTGAAGCCATTCTCTTTCCCTTAACTGTAATCTTTTTTTCATTTTTTATAATTATAATTTTTTTGTGATAATGATGTGTAATTTTTAAAAATTTAATTTTTAATTATTTTTTATTTGCCACGTCACACATTTAACGGTCAACTGTCAGAGTTGACCGCCACGTCAGTCAAAGTTAACGGAGGTTAACGGAGAGTGACCGAACTTGAACTGTTCAACTAATTCGAGTGACTATAAATGGAATAAATTAATTTGAGTGGTAAACGTGAAATTTTATAGCAATTCGAATGACCAAACTTGCAATTAAGCCCAATAAAAAGTAATAAGTTGATGGGAAACAAATTAGAGGTACAATAATTAATTAAAACTCTATAGATTATTATTACTCCGCCATACTTCTCAAGGCTCGCCTCTTGTCGCTATAGGCCTATAGCTCTATATAATAGAAGTCCTATACCAACTTCCAATAACGTAAACTGAAAACCATAGCTAGTAGCTTCGAGAGAAGAAGAAGAAGAAGAAAAAAAAAGATGGCTTCCGCTATAGACTACGAAATCTCCGGCATAGCCCTCCTCCTCCTCCTCTGGGTCGGCTGGGCAATGACGACGGAGTGCCGCCACCGCCGCCTCGAGCAGCTCGGCCGCCTCCCGCCGGGCCCCCGCCCGCTCCCGCTCGTCGGCAACATCTTCCAGCTGGGCTGGGCCCCTCACCGGTCCCTAGCCCGCCACGCCCGGGCCCACGGCCCAATCATGACGCTCTACCTCGGCTCCATGTGCACGGTCGTGATCTCGTCGAAAGAAGCCGCACGCACCATGTTCAAGAGCTACGACGTCGTGCTGGCTGGCCGGAAGATCTACGAGTCCATGAAGGGGCCCAAGAGCCGCGACGGGTCCATCATCACGGCCCAGTACGGCCCCCACTGGCGCATGCTCCGCCGCCTCTGCACCGTGGAGTTCTTCGTCGGGCACCGGCTCGATGCCACCCGAGCCGTACGGAGCCGGTGCGTGTGCCGGATGGTCCGGTTCATCGACGAGGCCAGGGCCCACGAGCCGGTGGTGGACTTGGGCCGGTTCATCTTCCTGATGGCGTTTAATCTCATAGGGAACCTCATGTTCTCGAGGGACTTGCTGGACCCGGAGTCCGAGAGAGGGGCGCGATTCTTCCACCACGCCGGGAAAGTGATGGAGTTCGCCGGGAAGCCCAACGCGGCGGATTTCTTCCCCGTTTTGAGCAGGTTCGACCCGCAGAGGATCCGGAGGAACACTCAGTTCCACGTGGAGCGGGCGTTCGAGATCGCCGGGGAGTTTATCGAGGAGAGGTTGGTGGAGATGGAGAGGACACGTGGCGAGGAGGAGGAGGAGGAGGAGGAGAAGGATTTCTTGGACGCGTTGTTGGGTTTCCGCGGGGAAGGAGTTGACGAGCCGGCGAAGTTCTCTTCGAGGATGGTCAACGTTATTGTCTTTGTAAGTCTTTTTTGTTCTCTCTACGCTTTCATTTTCCATCGTTAGTTCGTTACTAATACTAACCAATGGAAATGAGACAGATGGTTGACTATAAGTGAGTAGAGATGACAATAGATCAGGTTCCCAAACTCAATCAACGGGTGCATCTACTTAAAAAAATAGAAAACATACGTATACCTAATTTTGGAAGAGTAAAACCCAATTCAGCAGATAATTATGGGTGGATGAGTATTTATGAGTTCACAAACATATTTATAGTGATTACTCCGAATAATAATATCTTATCGTAATATTGTCAAAAAAAAAAATCCTACAAATTTATTTCTATGAACATTAATGACATCCATGGATTATTTATATTATTACGTTTATATTGACTTAAGAACTAATAATATTCATAAATTATCCATATTGTTCATGTTAAATACATAATGATGTTTTTTTTGGGTGCGAATCGGATGGAAAGTGGACAGAATTTTGACAAAATTTAAATACAACACAACCCGCCATTTCCAAAAGCATGTAAATCTCCTACCCCACTAAAAAACTCATTACCACTTTATTTTACCCGCTTTGACCAAATTAGATTGGATACTTATAAGTTGGGTTTAATTGTCATCTATAACTATAAGTCCATAACTAGTCAACAAAGACGAGCTATTTAGATATTTCTTACTTCTAGCTAGCAAGTGAAAATACAAACAAACAAGGTTGCTATTTAGATTGTTCTAACTTCTAACTTGCAAGTGAAAAGACAAACAAGTAAGGTTGGAGAAGTAGTAGACGTGTTTTCTGTTACGGCGGAACACTCTATGAAATCAGACAGGGAATGATTGAGAATTAGACAAAGTGGTTGTCGTCTAGTGTGTGAGATAATTAGAATTCAACCAAAAGGGATCGAATGCCACATGAGAAAAGTATGATAGAATTCAATTGTTGTTCTCTATGAATTGATATCCGACATTCATATTTGTACTATATATACTACATTGTTTTGATAGAACTGTTCAATGTCATAATGGCTTTTAACTTATATATATATAGCTCTTATATTATGTTGTTAAATATCTCTTGTCAAATCATTTAAAAGGTGTTGCTATTGATTTGTACTTAATAAATATGTTTTAAATTGCTTTGTAGGAGATGTTCACGGCAGGTACAGACACAACTACGAGCACATTGGAATGGGCAATGGCGGAACTCCTCCACAACCCAGAAAAGCTAGACAAGGCCCAATCCGAGTTAAGGGCCGTAGTTGGCCCACGGAAGAAACTTGAAGAAGAAGACATCCCTAGTCTACCGTACCTCAAAGCCATCATCAGCGAAACGTTGAGGCTCCATCCACCATTGCCCTTCCTCGTCCCGCACATGGCCATGCAGCCATGCAAAATGCTAGGGTACTACATCCCCAAAGAGACCCAAATCCTAGTGAACGTTTGGGCCATCGGCCGGGACCCGAGCACGTGGCCCGACCCGCAAGAGTTCAAGCCCGAGAGGTTCTTGGACTCCGATGCGGTGGATTACAAAGGCCAGCATTTCGAGTTCTTGCCGTTTGGGTCGGGCCGGAGGATGTGCCCGGCCCTGCCGCTCGTTTCTCGGGTTTTGCCCTTGGCGTTGGGCTCGTTGTTGAATGAGTTCGATTGGGCTCTGCCCGATGGGCTCAAGGCCCAGGATTTGGACATGAGCGAGAGGATGGGCATTACCCTTAGGAAGGCTGTTCCGTTGAAAGTGATACCGAGTAGGAGGTACTAGAGAGTTTTGAGCGATGATGGTTCCGATGCATCTTTGTATTGTTGAAGAGGGATTTAATTTGCTCGAATGAGGAAAGCTTCTCCCTCGGGTCATGTACAAATATCATATGGTTTTCGTAGGTCGTTTGTATGTCATTTCACAAATGCGTAAATATGACTTTTTCTAAGTAGCTGTTGTCTGTGTGTTGGAATGCACGAAATTTTTGATCGATATTAATTTGGTGTGATGTGAAGTTCCAAGGGCAGTTGTGTTCTCTCAGCCAACGACACCGTCTCAAATGTCACCATTTGTCAACCTAGCTTCTTCGGTGGCATTTTAACATACGATACGAGGCAAGCTATCCGATCCAAACGAGTCAACCAATAACAACCGAAACCATCTATTGAGTTATTTAACTCATTTTGAGTTATTTAGGTGCAAATAACCCGTTTGTCTACAAAAGTTATGAGTTACGTATACTTGAGTTAATTTGAAATATCTCATTAATGAGTTATTGTCAGTACCTCATATGAGTAGTTATTGTGAAATAACTCACATATGTCATATTCTCATTTTATGAGAAATTTCACTTTTATATTAACTCGTTACACAACAACTCATCCAAACGATCCCACGATCTCTCAAATTTCTTGAATGGCAGGGAGGTTTGAAATACCGTCGTTGACGGGATCATTCACAGTTACTAAAAATGGAGGGAAGGCGTCGCCGGCCTTCTCTTGGCCGCCAGTCCTATCTAAGGAACTTTGCGCTGGCTTATAATATTCATGGGAGCTTTCTCAATTCATTCACCATACATTTTAACTAATGCAGTCAAAGCGTTATGACGACCTAGAAACGTAAATGCGTAAACTTTTAATTTTTAAAGTGCGATTTTGACTTCTTTAATTCTAACCACTAATTTGGTATCATTGGTAAAGATGGTTGTAGGCACCTTCATGCCAAACGGCTACAAGGTCCATAAGCGTAAGTACACTCACCGTGAGCCGCAGACGGCCGCTGCACCCCAGCCGACGGCGATCCCTGCCAAAAGTGAGGCGGCTGTCACGTGACGGCAGAGGCTATTAGAATATGAATGATGGGAGGCAACTGTCGTTCAAAGGCAACATCAACAACAATAACAGCCACCACAATTACAATCAGTATTAATGGCTCTTTTCTAAGGAGGGTTCCAATTCTTATGAATTTTCCTTAGACGTTGGTTTGGATTAATCATTTCAATGCATTTTCAATTGTAGCCCAACATCACTTCCATAAATAGCAAGCGATTTGCTTGATATATACTACTCTTTTTAGGAAACAAAGAAAACAGTCTACTGTTTCGAGAAGCACTTGCAAGGAAAGATATCGAACGACGAGACTAGGCTAAAAAGCGAGATTCATTTCTTTCCATAAACGTCGATGATCTTGCTGTAAAAGCTCCAATCTGGGTGTGAAGAAGTTATTGCAGGCTTGCCAAATGGATTGGTTTTCACGAAAGTAGGCACATCTTCAGCTTCAGAGAGTTCATCCAGGTACTTCCTCAGCTTCCCTTCAGGTCCTAATAAAAGCACAAAATGACGCAAATATGAAAGTTAAAGACTTACAACTACCCTTTTCAAGACGCAGTTTAGATCGAATGTTCTTTGTTTCTAAATTCAAACTTTTATTAACATGACGTATGCTTTATAGCTCAAATGATTGATTCGTAATGATCAGGTGACTCACCTAGATCGTTGTCGGAGACGTTCGAGACAGTGTACTCCTCGGGGAAAATGGATGTATTAGGCTGCATGTACGAGCGATAATAAGTATTAAGTAACCACATGTGCATATGAATTTAAGTATGAATGACCTATGAGTGCTAAGGAGCAAAAATGGTTACCGGATTAACAAGGGACTTGTAAGGTTCACTATCTATCAGCAGAGTTTCTGTAGCCAAATACTTGGTGCCTTTGGCGCTGAGAGACTCCACAAGTTGGTTCAGATCCTTGAGGAAGATGGGCTTATACTTGTTATCCAAGCACTTGAATTCTGTTATGGTACATTCTTCCTGATCCTGAAGAATAATATATAAATCACATCCAAGTTAATAGCTTCGACATGGTAATCCAGAATTCGAAAGGATTTCAGTTTGGACGATTACCCAAGTGAACAGAAGCTGTTTCTTGAGATCTCCCATTACACAATCCAGAGCATCATCCAAATTCGACCTGGTTTGATAATCAGTCAAGCCAAAACCAAGATCAATTCAACTAAATTGCATGGGAGAAAAATGGTTTCAGGGGAAAATCATAATGATTCCAAGTTGGGCTACTAATTAATTACTCTTTGGAGGAGGACCAGATTCCTACTTGGAATCGTTCCAAGCAGAATTTGACGAAGTCGTCACAGTAAGGCCTCTTGTAAACTGCAACAAAAAAAAAAGCAATTACACAATGAACAGCCGCATTCAGTAAACGAGACAATGAACGAACGAGAAATCCTGACTTGGTTCTTACTGCGGAAGGTTCCAATATCTGCATCAGGCTTGCGGTTGCGAGGAATCCTGACTTTGTTCTTCCGGTATTTGAATACCCTGTGGCAGAGGAACCCACCGAGTGAGATTACCAGCAGTTTCTCCTTGGGTCCGAGGCTCAGCTTTCCGAGGGAAAGTAGCTCATCAGGCACATCCCCACCTTGTTCTTCAGTTTCGGAGTCGTCACTATTGACGCATTTTTCATAGTCGTCGTCGCTATTGTAGCAGAGGGCTTTCAGCCCGATCAAGTCGCCGCCTTTCTTGGGATGATGGATTGGTAGAAGAATCAAAGAGGGTGTTTATATATATAGAGTTATTACATGGATTGGCGACGGTTGGACTGTCCTCTATCTATGAGTCACTGAATGTTTTTGGCGACGGGGGTGATTAATGAATAATGAAAGCTCTCGTTTAAAGCATAGGTTGACGCCTTGACGGTTTGACTGCCTAATTAGAGTGCATGGAGAATGTAATGGTGGTGTCTTTACTTCTCTTTATTATAGGTGGAGACCGCTTGGAAATCTCCCATGCTTCAATGTCAGTGAATGTGCATGCATGCCATGATTAGTCCAACTTTCTCCAAGAACATTGGGGTTATTTGAGTCGATTTTTCTCTCACTAGACCGATCAATTCTAATTTCGCACCAGTTGAACAATCCTTGATATATGAAGATGATGTGCATTTATGCATCTCATTGCCAAAGTCTTTACTTCTTTTATTAGTATTATCTCGAGTCCTCGTACCAATTGTTCGCGAATCATTATAGTTAATTGTTATTTGGGACATTTGTATTAGTTTATGGTTATGATTATAATTACTACTTGTCTCTTAAATAGGAAGTATAGTCTAGTTGATTTTGTATATGGAGAATGTTTTATTTACAAGGTTGAACATTAACGGAGTTGTTCCATTTATTTATGTTGCTCGAATTTTAAGAACTCGGCTTTTGAAAATGCCTTACGAATAATCAAACCCGACCAACATGAAGGACAAAATGCTAGTATTTAGAGCATCTCCATTGGAATTGCATTTAGAATTGCATTATGAGAGCATCCACGTTGGTATTGCATTCTCAATTGCAAAATGACATGGCATAGGTGTTTGCAATTGCAAAACCAATTACATTGATGTGGCTACCAATTGCATATTTGCAAGCTTGCAACAAATGCAATTCCATATGCAAGTAAAAAAGAAAGCCTAAAAAATGGGGATTTTTATTATTTTATTTTCCCTTTTACTTAATTTTCAATAATTTAAACATAATGTTTAATTACATTTGCAATTGCAAGTTAATTGCATTGATGTAGGTGAATGAAATTTCTTTTGCAATTGCATTGATGGAGATGCTCTGACATGACATTCATTTGCAATTACAATGAAATTTCTTTTGTAATTGCATTGATGTAGATGACAATTGCATCTTGGCAAGCTTGCATATAATGCAATTATGGAATACAAGCCACATCATCTTTTTTATTATTAAATTATTCAATAATTTCATTATTTAAGTGTTTATGTTTTAATAAATTAAATTAAAAAATTAGTTGCAATTGCAAGTTAATTGCATTGATGTGGTGCAATGCAAGTAAGATGAGTTGGATTGCAAAAAAAAAAATGAAGTAACAATAAAAAAAACAAATGCAATTGCATCAATGGAGATGCTCTGATGCAATTATGGAATGCAAGCCACATCATCTTTTTTATTATTAAATTATTCATTAATTTTATTATTTGAGTGTTTATGTTTTAATAAATTAAATAAAAAAAATTAGTTGCAATTGCAAGTTAATTGCATTGATGTGGTGCAATGCAAGTAAGATGAGTTGGATTGCAAAAAAATGAAGTAACAATAAAAAAAACAAATACAATTGCAAATGCCATTGCACCAATGGAGATGCTCTAAGAAAGATAACAATTTTTTGGGGAATTCCATAGAGAAAGAAAAAAAAAAAGATTTTTCAAAGGACTTTTATTAGAATAAACCCAAAGTTTGAGTTCCAAATATACCTACAACTCAAAGAAAAAACGAGATTGGTGATAAGCTTGCCAAATGATGAAATGGTGTGTTTGGCTAGCATGCTAAGGGCATGTTCAGTTGGTTCTTGTGATCAACTCCAATATATAAGGCTTTGGTTGCTTCCATTTTAGAAACTTTGCGAGAATTGTACAGGTAGTTTTTGTTCCTGTCATGTTTATATGATATATTAGCTTTAGTCACAAAAGAGTTATGATATTATTTCACTACCGTTTTTGTTTTGGTGTATGGTTGATATACATTTGTAGATCTGCTAGTCATGAGGTGTGTTTTGTAATGAGATGTTGGAGTAAATTAAATTTAAAAGGAAGAGGAATGACCGGTGCTTAAATAAAGGAAAATTAGTTTTCTCTTGTTTAATTTGGTCGTGGATGAAGTAACCTACTATGATAAAGGAAAGGGAACGAGAAGGATGTTGATGCCAAGATGGAATTGAAGAACAAGTTCATAACAACTAAAAAAAATCAGTTATGGTCTATAGAATATAGAAGGCTAGAAAGTGTGAAGAATTATACAATATCCGTAGTCTAGTAAGATAAAAGCATTGGAATGATAAAGTATTGTGGATGGAAGGAAGTGTTTCCTAAGTTTAGTAATAGAGGTGAATTAATGCTTTTTATCTATATGTTGATAATGGTGATGGAATGCATTAAAACAGAAACGAAAGAGGAGCAGTACATACAAGACACAAAAAAATGAAGAAAAAAAAGGTGGTTCACAAGATAAGAACCAACCAAAAAACAACCAAAACAAAGGAAGAAAAGAACTGCTAGATGGTGACATACAACAATCTCGACGAGAGGTAATTCTTTCTTGGTTCAAGTCCTGCAAGTTCTTGACACTGGTTGCCACAAATGTGGCTGCAAGGGGATTGGATATCAATGATGTGCAGTTGATTATCCTATGTGAACCTCCGCGTAATGTTGAAGCTTATATTCATCGATCTGGACGTACAGGAAGAGCACACAATATTAGGGTCACTGTGATGCTCATTGATCCAAGAAGGGCTAACATTTCCAAGATACATAGGGAAGCTGGTAACAATTTTAACATGTAGTTGCACTTCAAGCTACTGATATCCACCAATTTGTTGCCCTACAAGCAGCTCAAACAATAACCTAAGTTTCAGACGGTGTGATCCCTGCTTTTAAGGTTGCAGCTGAGGAACTATTGAATTCTTCTGGTTCATTAGTTGTGGATCTTCTAGCTAAAGCATTGGCAAAGTCTTTTGGTTATACAGAGATTAAGACTATATAAATTTTTATCTATATTGAATCTACAATAAAGTGATTTAATCTTTAGTGCATGATTCGCTAACCTATTGTGCATGAAGTTTGAAATATGAACTTGGAAGAATAATGATTTCTTCTATATTATAGCTAGCTATATATCATATTATTGGGAAAGTATAATTTAAGACTAATTTAGACCAACGACATGATCATGGAAGTCGAATTCCAAAGTTGATAACACTAGACCATTCATCAGTCCAGCCAAAATTGAAAATCCAACCGAAAGCAGCAAATATAAAAGAAAACAAGGGAAATGACAAATTTAGTGGTGATCATCAACAACTTCCACCATGAGCCTGGATTATCTTTTTGTAGTAAGCCCAATCAGAATGGGCTGGAGTGATAGCAGGCTTCCCAAATGGATGGGCCTTCACGTAAGACGGGACATCATCGCCTGCTCTCGCTAGCCCATCCAGAAACATCCACAGTTCACCTCCTGGAGCTGCAAATACATTGCCGCAACGGAGCAAGAAACGTCGTTAGAAGACCGCACAAACCCATTAACTAATGAATGCAAAGAGAAGAGTCAAATAGTTGAAGGTATTTACCTAGTACATTGTCACTCATGTTCTCAAACTTGTACTCGGTAGTGAACACCGCAGTATTGGGCTACAACAATTAGACATTTAAAAATGCATAGCGATATATCATAAACAAATTCACAGCTTAATCCCCGATGACAAAGTGTCCGTACAACAAAACAAGAAGTCTTACAGGATTCAGAAGTGTCTTGTAAGGCTCGTCTTCGATCATTACGGTATTCAAAGCCAAATACGAGGCATTACGAACCATAAAAAGGTTATCCAAAACCGTCTTCAGCTCCTTCAGAAACAGAGGCTTGTCCGTCTTGTTCAGAGTCTTGAATCCGGAGTCATTACATCGATCCTGATTCTGAGGGAGAACGATCATTTTTTTAAAAGAAACTATAGATTTCATGTTGTACCATGTAAGTATACTTAAAAAAGTAAATAGGTTATGTACCCAAGCGAACATGATGTCACTTTTCTTCAACCCATTCATCACACAGTCTAAGGCGTTGTCCGTATACCATCTGCCAGATCATTAATCGATCAGTAAAATAGAAGTCTAATAGTCTTCTATTATACCTATGACTGGCTATTGACATATTCAGTAAAATACGATACGAGTAGATATAAAATACAAATGGATGTTTTACTTTGTTATAAAGTATATGAAATGAACTATTCCAAAAATATACAAATGTGTAATAGTGAGTCATACTAGTTTTATACGTGTTAAATACAAGAGTCACCCGATGAACAGAAGAAGTAAAAAAGATAAAACGGTATGTTAATAGTATAGTAACATATCCTTCAAAAAAAAAAAAAAATAGTATAGTAACATAAAATTTGAACGCATAAAATATGCTCGTAGTAAACGGAATATTGACTCACCTCTTAGCCGCGGTCCAAAATGCAACGTCGAACCTTTCGAAGCAGAACTTCAAGAACTCCTGACAGTGTGGCCGCTTGTAAACTTGAAGTTGATGCAATAATAAAGTTTATATAAAAAAAAAACCGGTTAGCTAATGGCAATACGATGAAATAAGAAACTGCATGAGTTTATAACGTCGGAGTAGTGAGTACTTCTCACCAACGAAGCTCCCGTAGGCTGCATCGTGAGGGCGAGTGGCGGCGACGAGTCGGTTCTGATTTTCTCGCCTGAGGACACGATCGCAGAGCAATCCGCCGAGGGCCAGAATCAGAAGCTTCCGCCGGTTCGTGGTCGGGCTGCGAGGAACAAAGCTCGCCAGCTTGCCGGGAGGTGAAACGTCGTCGTCTTTCAATTGTTTCTGTTTCAGTTACCCGGCCTCCATATCTCTCTGACTCTCTCTCTCTTTGTGATGTTTGAAGTTCCGGTTTCTTGTTAATTGTTTGGAGTGTAATTTATGGAGGAAAGGAATGGATTCCTGACGCTTTGACTGGATTAGCATTTAACTCCCTGTCGTTAGCAAATGGGTAGTTGATTCGTTACATTATGTGATTAGTAATTATTACTAGTACACTGATCCTGAAGATGTTTCGATTTCCAATATGTTATTAGGGAATATTAATGACCTGCCGAACAAACTAATTAATTATTTCCCCCGTAATTGTTGTGTTCTCGCTCATCCTTGTTAAATCAAGCCTTTTGAAACCCAAACTGACAGAATACACAGGGTTGTTTGCTAGACTGAACTCAGGATTTACTTTGGCCTGTAGTATGCTACTTCTTGGTTGATCTGCATAAATAGTTCAGTCTTACTTCTTTTTGCTGTTGTAAATGCTCGATTGCATCTCTCCTTCTATACCAGAGCCACAAATTAGTTAAACACCTATCAGCTAGCTATGACATAGCAAGCATACATCCGAATCAATAATCCCCCACTCCTTCAATTGCACTCTAATTTTTAATTCGTTTGGATGAGTTAGTTGTCAATATGGTATTTGTAGAGTTAAACAACTCATTTATTGTTCATGTGGTATTTCAGTGGTAATTAAAAGAGGGTGCCGATATTTCAAATAGAAAGTTTAAAAGTAAAGAATAATTAGAGTTTGGCATGGGTCGGTCAAACATGCCGAATTTCAAGTTTTAGCCCGTTTTGATCAAGTCTAATTTATAATCACATGGTTCCCTGATACCCGATAAAAATCTCAATCCAAACCAGTTTGGCAGGTGAGTCTGTGTTTACCACCATTTTCTAGGGATACAGGAACGGTGGTTCCTATCCCAAATCGTGTTGTTCATTCTTGATTTCTTTAGATTTTATCATGGGTTGGCAAAAAACCAGAAAGCACAATGATGATAAGATGAAAGTTTTATAAAACAAATTAATCGGCCAACGGGCCGAGTAAAAGCTAGCAACGATTGTGAGATGCTCATTTCCCGAGAACCAGTGGGATAGGCGATTTTTTATTCGATTTTCTGGAATTCTGTTTCTATAAAACTTACTTCACCTCATCATATTACCAGAAACAATATTGTTTCACAAGGTAACATGTACTTGATTTTGATTCATAAGGCTGATTTTTGATTCGTTGCATCATTCATGTCTATTTCCTACTAAAATTCACTATTTTTATAACGTGTTTCCCAAAAAAAACTATACAACAATAAGCTATACACCCCATTATATTATCAAATTTCATACCTCACCTTACTCCGGCCAAATGGCCGGGGCCACGTTAGTTCCATTATTAGTTTGGAATCTTCTGTGGATCAATTCGAGTACTTCCTGATTGTGTTTTTTACTTTTTTTTTAGTCTCGCCGCGGATGGTAACTCAAGCCAGCCATGGAGCTGGTTGGGCCGACTACTTAACTCAGTTATGGGCCTCAAAGTACGGGCAAGGCTTAGTCAGCTGTTGTAATAGTTGGTATAGTATAGGACTCATCAGCCCGTTATATAATATCATGCACAACTCCATATGGGTTTGTAGAATTTGTAATCCGACCCTGTAGGATGGGCCTGGATGCACGATGAGCTTCTGCACTAAATTAGTCCTCATTTGTTAACAAGTTAAAATTTGATTACTATTCATGAAAATAAGTTTAACTGTACGATTTGTTCTTTATCATTTTCGCATCATCGCATGGTAACTTTTATTAAGAAGTTGGTAAATATTATTGGCGATAAATGCCGTGTATAATACACCAAAAGAACGAATGAAATGATAGAGACTAAAACCGCCTACACCTCAGCTTAACTAAAACGATTAATGTTGGTCAATGAACGCGAGGCAATCTACACTTCATAAAGGTGGGTTTCATCCTTCTTTCATTGTCCTTAATAATAATTGAACCACAGTTTATGCTCCAATGATTCTGATATTGTGGGGTTAAGCAAATCTTTTCGAAGTGGTAATAAGCACTTAAAAAAAATAAAAGACCTACAACGACAAGAGATTCGGGCATCTTCGGTTTGCCACTATAGAGAAGTATACTTCTGGTACATACAATAACAAGGATCCAAAATTTGGAGAAAAGCAAACGCAACATATTAAAAGAACATTTCATATAATACTACTACTAATAATAATAATTTTGATTTGATGAGCTAATTATGAATACAAAATTAGTACGTGCATCATGACAATTGGTAGTTTGTTTACCTAACTATTATATAGTGACCCATGTGTCGGTGTTGACTAAGCTAAAGGAGAGGGGGCTTTGTGGGAATATGCTAATTGCTAGGGACTCTTATAAGATGGCCTTAAACGTAAGTAGTTGTCTCTCTTTTGGGGAGAAGAGAAATGGTCCTGCTAGGTAGCTTCAATTCACTAAAGACAATAAAAACAATAAGAATCACACTCAAGCGCGCGGTAAGGAATGAGATTGGTATAGTGTGTTTCATTCGCATGATCCGTTATTATAAAAGAAAATTTTTTGATGGCTGCCAACATGGTTGTAACTTGTAAGCTCGAATCGTGCCCATGAGTTCGCAAGATATTCGTATTGATTGGGTTTATAAATATTGCTCTTCAATAAAGGAAGGCATCATACATTTCCTGTTGTTGATAGTAATCATCACCCGACATCATATGAAGCGGTAAGGAACTTATCACAAACGATATTGTATTCTCATCTATTTATCGCCTAATATTTAAAGTAGAAGTCCATCGTTAACAATATTGTTTGGATTTAATTTGTTGAGAGCTGGCTAGAAGGGAGAGATGCCTTGAAGCACAAGGCCCAGTTGTATAGTGTGTCAGTACTCAGTAATGGATCGATCGAACACATACATTAATTCCAACACGTGTGTTCTTCACCACATGGTTCTGCAATCATGCAATCTTATTATTCAAGGACAAGGCAGCCCCAACAGATCTCCTTCACCAGCCAAAGCAAATGGAACTGAAACAGAAACAGAAAGGAAAGGATGGCCAGAGAAAGAAATTATTTTCCCATTTCCACAACAATGAATGAATAGGAATGAATGTTTTGGGTGTGGATGACAGCAATATCCCTTGCTGGAAATCTTTCCCTTCTTTCTTTCTTTTTCTCTTCTGCTTTCCCATGTTACTTAATTTGTTTCTTTGGTGGATATGATGGTATTTCATTATGACCAAAGAGAAATCGGTGGCTTAGCTAGGGTAGTGCTGATTTGTTTCTCCTTATGTGGGTATACAATGAAGGACTTGCCAAGCTGTCGTTGCTTCTTGTAGCAAAGAGGGAAAACACGATTTCACTCAAAAAGTGTTTGTAGCGGGTAAAGACGCGATAATTTTCGATCGTAAATGATTAATGTCGTAGTAGTGATGGTAGATGATTCAAGGGCAGATAGTTTGTCAGTATGACGATAATGAGATTTGAACAAGAGTTTCGGTTCTATCTTTACCATGCATTGAACTAATATGTATGATTACTATCAATCAACACCCATGTCGGTTCGATCTAATATTATGTATCGTAATTCATAAAGCAGATACACATGTAAACATAGTTTTTGTGTTAGTTCCGAAAGAAGTTTTCATACATCTCTATCTTAATGATGCAAGATGAAACATATTTAGGAAACAAGGCGCAACGAAGATCCACGTATATTATGTTTAAGTCCTCTAACTACACCCTCATTATCGTGCAACCAAATCACTATCCATTTCCCTTCTTCTTGAGCCCTCATTTGGTGAGTGGATGATTCCAGGCATAACCATGTCATGAGTAGTTGTACCTCGTCATTCAAACACCACCCACACTAATGGGAATAGGGTTAACTGAAGATAGATTGATGGACAAACAAGTGTTGAGGTTACACAACCTTAGGAAATAAGTAAAACCTATATGTTTGGGAAAAGGTGTGATGTCTATTTATATTAGTTCCAAACAACCTGAGCTTCTGGTCTTATGGCAAATTCCATTCCATGCTTCTTGATTCCATAAAGGACCTAATCATACATTAGGGCTTCTCGAGCATCTCATTGACTGAAGATAGAACTACTTAATTGAGGAACCCACTTGACTTAAACCAAATGATTAGAAGCTTAAACCTGTAATTAAGCTATATTAGTGGAGGGGACAAATATTATTGGGATGGTACTGCATCACATCCATATTGCATCATTTTCTTCTTTTTCAACACTTGCCAACCCCCCAATCCCTTTGCCCTACTAGAACCCTTTTTGTGCCTGTGATTTGATTGAATTATATATAAGGTGGGACTAAATATATCCCAAATACCATATATGGTCCAATATTTAGTTTGATCATCAAACTTAAAACTAGACCATCTATGTTCGAACAAGGCATCCTTCTAGTTTTTTTCTATATAGGTTACGTCATAAAATTCAGGCCTAAAAACTTGCAAAACCCGTGTCTTACCATTCCTAATAGGATGGTGATCATATGATTCATATAAGAGTGATATGACACGGAATTCGTAGAAAAGGGGTGTGTACCCTATCCGTCCTCGTTTATTATCTATAAAAATATTCACCACCCATAAAAAACCTGGGAGTTTTCAGAGAATTAGGTTGATTTATAGATTTGTTTTTCCGTTACAAAGAAAATTCATCGAAAACAGTTTTTCTCGATTTTCATGAACATTCGATAAACCTTTGAGAGAGACTTAGATAGACATGACGATTTTGATGATGGTCGCCACTAGAGTAACACAGAAGTGGTGGTTGCCATTTGCCAAGACTCCAAATAGCACCTCCTAATTCCAAACTTGTGGCTTTACCAATCCCACCGTACTATGGAGTATAAAACTATTGGATTATCACTTAATCCACACTTCCCTCTTACAGCAAGAACCTAAGAGTAGGTCTAAGCAAGAACCTATAAATCAAGGGCCTAATAGGGATGTGGATTTGGGAGACTTTATATTATTCTTCTTCCTTACATTTGGCTTTCTTGAGAACACTGATAGACCACACACACAACAACATTTGATTCCCAGCAAAAATTGTGCGAACTTAATATTCCATCTACTTTGAAAAAGACTATAAAGCTAATTCCTTTTGGCTAAATGTGTACGTAGCTAACAAACACTATATAGGACATTGCTGCTTTTTTTTAATGAATGATTCATGTATTAATTATAAGACATGGCTTGTATTTTTATTTTATAAGGGTGATAAGACATGGCTTGTATTATTAGGTTGGATTTTGGCCACTATCATTTTGGAAAAACACTTTAATGGTCATTAACTATATGATTATGAATTTCTAGATGATTGACGAAAGACATGGTAATTTCGGACTTAGGGCATCCCATTCCATCAAATTAAACCTGTCCATGTCGGGCATTTTAAACTTCGGGGGTAGCCCGGCATTAGGGAACACAACAAGTCAGATAGTCCAATCGGGCAAGTAGTCTTTTATTTTGTTTAGGCAAATGTGTCATGAGCAAACTAAACATATAGAGATCGATTGTTACATTGTCAGTGAAAAACGGAAGCCTGGTGAAAAGATGAAAGCATTCGTTCTATCAGGTTGGTTAAGTACATAACGAATCTTGTGTAATAAAAAGATAGACCGTGAGACTCGTTTTGTTATGTATTTTTTGATTTATAAATTAGTTTAGAATGTGGAAGATTCCTTTCTTCTTCTCTCGATCTTCCTTGGGTTCTTGTTGTGTGGATTAGGATAA